ATTTCTTCAGACGCGACGCTTAGGTTCATACCCCTATCAGTAATCATTGAACTATGACCACTGTAGTATGTTGTATTAAAAAAAAAACTCCCTTCCACCAGCCAGCCACAGTGTAACTCCTAATCACTTGAGGTTGAATCAATGAAGAAGCTGAAGTAAGTGACTACTGATAGGAATATGAACCTAAGTGTCACGTATGAAGAAGTGTGGTATAGCGCTGTCTAGTCCCAGAGAGAAACTAAATCAAATTACATTGGTAACCGCGACACATAATTAAATAACGAGGAAAATGTCTCTCTATCTGTCTGTCTGTCTGTCGATTTTTCTATTTATCTATTATCATTTAAACACACACACACACACACACACACACACACACACACACACACACACACACACACACATACCCCCCCTGGTTACCTCACGCCTGCGACCTTTTGATTGGATTAAGTACGCTGCCCAACGTATCTGATTGGGCGAGGTGAGGCGTGAACGGACCAATTACCGGGAAGATGTGCCAACTCTCTCTCTCTCTCCTCCTTCCATTAATGACATCACAGCACGGAAAGAGGATTAGCACCTACTTAAATCTGCTAAAAATAATTAATTCTAGTCATATTAAGTATCAGCAAGTCATAGAGCCTCACTGAACATTGCTTTAAACTACACTGGCGACACTAAGTTGAAGGGAGTATAAAACTTTCTTTGAGGACGATGGTTTAACCCTTTGAGGATGATGGTTTAACCCTTTGAGGATGATGTTTTAACCCTTTGAGGATGATGTTTTAACCCTTTGAGGATGATGGTTTAACCCTTTGAGGACGATGTTTTAACCCTTTGAGTATGATGTTTTAACCCTTTGAGGATGATGGTTTAACCCTTTGAGGACGAGATGGTTTAACCCTTTGAGGATGATGTACAGTTTAAATCTTTGAGGATGTATGCTTGAACCTTTGAGGATGATGGTTTAACCTTTTGAGGACGATGTTTAACCTTTTGAGGACGATGGTTTAACTTCTTTGAGGATGATAGTTTAACCTTTTTGAGGACGATGGTTTAACCTTTTGAGGGGATGATGTTTTAACCCTTTGAGGATGATGTCTTAACCCTTTGAGGACGATGGTTTAACCCTTTGAGGATGATGTTTTAACCCTTTGAGGATGATGTTTAACCCTTTGAGAACATGGTTTAACCCTGTGAGGATGATGGTTTAATCCTTTGATGACGATGATTTAACCCTTCAAGGATGATGTTTTAACCCTTTGAGGACATGGTTTAACCTTGTGATGACGATGATTTAACCCTTTGAGGATGATGGTTTAACCCTGTGATGACGATGGTTTAACCCTTTGAGGATGATGGCTTTAACCCTCTGAGGATGATGGTTTAACCCTTTGAGGCTGATGGCTTAACCCTTTGAGGACGATGTTTTAACCCTTTGAGGACGATGGTTTAACCCTTTGAGGATGATGTTTTAACCCTTTGAGGACATTGTTTAATCCCTTGATGACGATGATTGAACCCTTTTAAGCGATGATGTTTTAATTCCTTTGAAGGGTTTAACCTCAGATGACGATGATTTAACCTTTGAGGATGATGGTTTAACTTGTGATGACGTGATGGTTTAAATCCCTTTGAGGACGATGGTTTAAACCTTTGAGGATGATGGTTAACCCTTGAGGATGATGGTTTAACCTTTGAGGACGATGGTTTAAATCAGTGATGACGATGGTTTAACCCTTTGAGACATAGATTTAACCTTGAAGATGATGTTTAACCTTTGAAGACATGGTTTAACCTCAGATGACGATGGCTTCAACCTTGAGGATGATGGCTTTAACCTTTGAGGATGATGGCTTAACCTTTGAGGATGATGGTTTAACCTCAGGATGACGATGAAGTTTAACCTTTGAGGACGATGGTTTAAATTCCTTTTGAGGATGATGGTTTAACCTCGAGGATGATGTCAATCTTGAGGATGATGGTTTAACCTTGTGATGACGATACGAACCCAGTGATGACGAGTATTTCAACCTTTGAGGATGAGCGCCATCTCTTTACACGATAGATTTAACCTTTGAGGATGATGGCTGTCCTTTCGGTGATGACGATGGTTTAACCCTTTGAGGATGATGTTTAACCCTTTGAGAATGATGGTTTAACCCTGTGATGACGATGATTTAACCCTTTGATGACGATGATTTAACCCTTTGAGGACGATGCTTTAACCCTTTGATGACGATGATTTAACCCTTTGAGTACATTATTTAACCCTTTGATGACGATGATTTTACCCTTTGAAGACGATGATTTAACCCTTTGAGGACGATGGTTTAACTCTTTGAGGATGATGTTTTAACCCTTTGAGGATGATGGTTAACCCTTTGAGGACGATGGTTTAACGCTTTGAGGATGATGTTTTAACCCTTTGAGGATGATGGTTAACCCTTTGAGGACGATGGTTTAACCCTTTGAGGATGATGGTTTAACCCTGTGATGACGATGCTTTAACCCTTTGAGGATGATGGTTTAACCCTTTGAGGACGATGGTTTAACCCTTTGAGGATGATGTCTTAACCCTTTGAGGATGATGGTTAACCCTTTGAGGACGATGGTTTAATCTGTAATGTTTGTTAGGTGTTGTGGGTTAAACGCACCGATTATATGAAGTCTGTTAACTGTTTTAGTATTATAAAACACGTCTAGAATATATCTTATATGATTAACACACCAATTATAAAACTTTCCTGGATCCAGCATATAAAAATTATTATTATTATTATTTTTCTTTTTTACGGGAATTAGCTCGCCCGGGCACAGGTCAAACGGCCCACAACGGAGCCTGGGGGGCGAAAAAAAAGAAGAACGGAAAGAAATTGAAAATATAGAAAGAAAGGTTATACTGTATTAATCTACACCACGAAGATGCCAGAAAACCAGCTTTTTAAAGTGAGACAGATTGTAAGAGCATGGAAACACAGAAGAAGGCAGAGCATTCCACAGTTTGGCTGTGTGAGGAAAGAAGGAGGTACTATAACGGGTTATTCTCGTGTGACTGACATCCACAGAGAAACGGTGGGCACCGCGGGCAAGATGTGTGTTACGAACCCACGGCCTTGCCGGCAGTACACAGGATGCCAAATCCACTGAACATTGCCCGTTAAAGTACCTGTAAAAGAGAGAGTGAAGCAACATTGCGGCGAAGAGAAAGGGGAGAGAGATTGTCGACTAAAGGAGGAGAGTTAATAAGACGAAATGCCTTTGATTCCACCCTATCTAATAGTTGGACAGAAAGAGAGCCACCCCAGATATGAGAGCAGTACTCCAAGTTGGGACGAATGAATCCCTTATATACTTGGAGCAACTGCTCAGGAGTGAAGTAGCTGTGGCATCTGTACAGCATTCCCAATTTTCGGGAGGCAGCTTTAGTTATACTAAGGATGTGTGATTTCCAGGACATATTGGAGGAAATGGTGAGGCCTAACACATTTATTTCAGAATTTGGGGGGATGATAGCGTCCTGAAATGTAATTGGTGGGAGATCGTCTAATTTACAAAGAGTAATTGGTAAATATTGAGTTTTGTTACTATTGAACTTAACCAAGTTTGTATCTCCCCATTCAGAGATGCTGCACAGATCCGCGTTGATAGAAGTAATGATATCAGTTCTAGAAACAGATCTAGTTTGAGAGTTAGGAGGAAGGGGAAAATGTGAGGAAGAGTGAAGAGTAGAATCATCGGCGTAAGAATGGATAGAATTTGTTGTAGTGTGAAGTAAATCATTGATAAAAAGAAGGAAGAGAGTTGGTGAAAGAACAGAACCCTGTGGGACGCCACTATTGGTAGAGAAAGAGCGAGAAATCGATCGCTCGACAACAACTGCCATGGATCGGTTCTCAAGGAAGCTAGAGATGAGAGAACAAAGTGGGGGAGAGAAACCAAAAGAGGGAAGTTTAGATAGCAAAGACTTGTGTCATAATTATACACTTAGGACAATTGTATAAGTCTGGGGAAATATTTAAGAATGAGGCCGTGAGATACTGTACGTAGTCGTATTATCTTCAGTCCGTGTTGTGTTAATGAGCATTATTTTTATGTCTGGTTTACGTAATATACGAACTGTCTAGTGTGCTATTATATCTATCTATCTATCTATCTATCTATCTATCTATCTATCTTTCTATCTATCTATCTATCTATCTATCTATCTATCTATCTATATATATAATTGAGAATTTTATATATATTTTCTTTAACTATTGTCAGTCAAGTCTTTCTTCTTTCCCTAATAAGAGTTTAATTCTTTACAGTGTGTTAAGAGCCCCGAGGCACGTACGTTGTTTACTTGTTTTATTTGTCTGTTGTGAAGTGATCGGTGCCTAATGAGCCTTAGTAGTTGAACAAGAGCCAGTAAGTTATATAACAGTTATATAACTAGATGTGGTAGAACTGTTCTCTAGGATAAAGTGCTACATCAGGGAGAACAAACGAATTGATCTCCCCACGTACTGTTTTTCTGGTCGACCTCTGACTCAATATAATCAAGTAATAAACATTCACCACCACGCCACTAACCCAGCCTCTGTGTTTTCCACAGTTTGATCGGTCGAGCCGCACCAAGTCAGAGTCCCTGTGTGGCCTGGAGGAGGTGCTCAGCTGTCTCCAGCCCAGTGAGTTCGAGGACGAGCAGCTGTCCAGGTTCAAGGGTATGTGCTGGATGGACTTCGTGTCCTTTATGGAAGGGGGTCCTCAAGGGGAGCAGGATTCCCCCACCTCCACGGAGTCGCCGGACACCCTACTCCTGCTGGAGCCAACGACGACGGGCACTAACCCTCCCGTAGTGGCCCTCAATGATCGGGAGCTACTCATTACGCCCTCCATCAAACCCGACCCTAGACCCGACCCCCGACCCGACCCCGCCGACAGACATGAGAAGCATGACCGTCTGTCGGCCCTCTCTCTTTTGACCGTGAGACGCCGCTGCCCCGGAAGCGTCACCCCATGACCATCATGAGGACCATGAGCGAGCGGTCACTGGACCGTGGCCGCGTCGGGCTCCTCAACTTGCTCAGTGAACGAGTCCACCCTGACCGCTCGCCCGTCAAGTCCCTCAATAAGTCTCCACTGGGAGGTACTAACAGCGCTAAGATAGGTGGGGGGCTGACCGGCGTGGAGAGGGCGCTAGAGATCGCCAGGGAGAACGTGAGAGCCTCGCTAAACAAGACGGAGACGAAGAGACGCGAGGCGGTGTGGGACCTCTTCCAGTCAGAGTGCGCCTTCCTCTACGACCACCTCATGGTCCTCAAAAACGTGAGTACCCGACCCATTGCCACACACACACACACACACACTTGAAATAACATTGTTCTTATTCATTTTCCTTTTGATATTCTCAAAGGTCAGGAGGCCTCCCGGAACTGATCTTAAACTTGTTAGTTTTGTCTTTTATCATGAAAACAACAGTGCCGGGGTGTGCCTCCTACAAACACACCAGAAATATAATTAATTAACAGCAAAAAATAAACAAGGAAATAACAGAGACATGTTCAGGTAACAACTCATTTGTTAACTGCCTCTGAAACCAATGAAAACAGACACATTAATTATACAATGGCAGGGTAATTAACTAATGATGATAACTGGATGATATGTGTGTCTGTTGAAGTCTGTTGGTGTGGACATCAGAACTAAACATCGTCGACAACGCCAAGAGTTTAATAATAATTTTTCTAGTATTTTTTAGTAGCAACGATCTGAAAGAAATATTTATTAAACTGCAATACTGTACAACACGACGATGTGGCTGACGACCCTTCATCCTCCCCACAAGGTCCCAAACACACATACACCTGTCCATACACTCATGTACACATTTATCTACAAACAAATATACATGCCAACCCTACCGCTCCCCACCCTCCCTATCCTCACCTCTCCCCACACATGCGTCACCACCCCCACGTACATCCCACCCCCCAGCTTAAAGTCGTAGTCTCAGCAGCAACACCATACCGCCAGGGCAAGTTCACATAGAGCTGTCTGTGGCATAACCTTTCCCCGTAAGTGGGCTTGGGGGGACGTGGTCACCTCCAAGCTATGAAGTAGAGTCTCAGGGCATTTTCAGCACCATTTGGCCTGAACTGTGGATCACAGCTGAAAACAAGAGAGTTAGATACATTTTCATATTTCACGTTAAGATATCTAGAGTTCCCTTTATTATTTAGAGTTGAGTGAGGCAGCGAGTGGGTCGATTCCTACGCGCTTGTTCACACACCTTTTTTTTTTCATGTCCGAATTTGAGTTGATGTTGACGGACGGGTGACATGACGCTGAAAGTGAGGGTCTGTGATGAGTACAAAGAGAGATATCTGTCGTGTGATATCTTGTGACACGGATCCTTGAAATATGTTGTTATGTAAATGTTGTTTTATTACAGTTCTTTTCTTATGAATATAAAAACTATAAACATTGCTACGTACTTTCAATCACTCACAGGAACCTTATATCTCCTCAAAATGTATATACATTTTATAATAATTTTTCTTCCTCGCGATACTAAACAGCTGACTCAGTTATACTACAAATAAAAAAAATAGATTACAATACAAGACGTTTTAGAATATATATATAGTGAGTATTAATACCTAGTGTTAAGTATAGTACGTGAGACATCAATTATCTCTCTCTCTCTCTCTCTCTCTCTCTCTCTCTCTCTCTATTAACCTTATTGTTTTATCGTGGTAGGACACTGTAGCCAAGAAAACAATTCCTTTAACAATAGCAGGTTGAATGTCCTCCAAATTAAAAATAAAGGAAAGAGATAATTATACAAAATAAATAAAAATAAAAGGTATAAGAAGAGTCAAAAGAGAAAAGAATATTGTAGAAAACAGAAAAAGACAGAAACAAAATGGAAAGAAGACAAAGATAGACAAAGAATAAGAATAAGAAAGAAATCCAGAGAAACAAAGAGCCAATGAGACAGAAAACGAGAAACAGAAGTGACTATAAATAGAAGTGGAAGCTGGGGATGACAGTGATGGCTGAGAGGTTAGGCTAGGAGACAGAGGGGGTAGAAGAGGCTAGGAGGCTAGGAGAAACTGGGAGAGAATGGGCTGGGAGAGTTTAGAGACTGTGAGAGCTTAAAGACTTGGGAAAGGGTGAAGGTGGGGAGAGAGACTGGGGGGGGAGGCTGGAGGCTGGGAGAGACTGAGAGAGACTGGGAGACTGGGAGACTGGGGAGGCTGGGGGAAGCTGGAGGAGGCTTGGGAGGCTGGGAGAGACTGGGGAGGCTGGGGGAGGCTGGGAGGCTGGGAGGAGGCTGGGGAGGCTGGGAGGCTGGGAGGCTGGAGGGACTGGGGAGGCTGGGGAGGCTGGGAGGCTGGGAGGCTGTGGGGGCTGGGAGGAGGAGGCTGGGGGAGGCTGGGAGACTGGGAGAGGCTGGGAGGCTGGGAGGACTGGGGGGCTGGGAGGCTGGGGGAGGCTGGGGGAGGCTGGGAGCAGGGAGGCTGGAAGAGGCTGGGGAGGCTGGGAGAGACCTGGGGAGGCTGGTGAGGCTGGGGGAGACTGGGGAGACTGGGGGAGGCTGAGGAGGCTGGGAGAGCTGGAAGAGGCTGGGGGAGGCTGGGAGAGACTGGGGAGGCTGGGAGAGGCTGGGGAGGCTGGGAGGCTGGGAGAGGCTGGAAGAGGCTGGGGGAGGTTGGGAGAGGCTGGGGAGGCTGGGAGACAGAGCTGGGGAGCTGGGAGAGACTGGGGAGGCTGGGAGAGGCTGGGAGAGGCTGGGGAGGCTGAGAGCTGGAGGCTGAGAGACTGAGAGAGGCTGGGGAGGCTGGGAGAGGTTGGGAGGAAAAGCTGGGGGTGGAGGCTGGGAGAGACAGGAGAGGCTGGGGAGGGGGCTGGGAGAGGCTGGGAGAGACAGGAGAGGCTGGGAGGCTGGGGGAGGCTGGGAGAGGCTGGGGGAGGCTGGGGAGGCTGGGGAGGCTGAGAGACTGAGAGGCTGGGAGGCTGGGAGAGGCCGGAGGCTGGGAGAGACTGGGGAGGCTGGGGGAGGCTGGGGGGAGGCTGGGAGACTGAGAGAGGCTGGGGAGGCTGGGAGGCTGGGAGGGGCTGGGGAGGGTGGGGGAGGCTGGGAGAGGCTGGGGGAGGGTAGGGGAGCATCATTACCATCACTATACAATAAGCTCACCTGCATTCACTTGACCTTGTACGCTTCACCTTAATGGCGATGAATCAATGTGTGTACTGAGTGACCCCGTGACCTTTCCTGACCTCCCTGTTAAACGCCATTTTCTTTCTCACGCCTCACCCAACCTTGTTCATTCATCCTCTCTCTCTCTCATAACATAATCACCATCACTCTCTAACATACAATTAACTTTTACTATTCTGACGATGGTGTGTATGTAGTTCCAGTTCCTCCTCCTCCTCCTCTTCCCCTCTTCCTCTCCCCTCCCTCCTCCTCTTCCCTTCTTCCTCCTCCTCCTCCTCCAATGACCCTTCCATTTCCACCTCCCTCTAGGGGCATTATTACACACGCTGAAACAGAAGCCTTTGTCCAGCGTCTTCTAAGAAGTTGAAGGTTAACGACCTAAACAGTCCAAACGACGCTCCTCCTATCGTCTGGCTGAGCACGACCACCGCTACGACTTTTTCAATCTCTTTAAGTGTTTTTTTCCCTTGTACTTTCCTTCCAAACAGGAGAATTTAGTTATTATCATATACTCAAATGACCCGGACACATAACTAAAAATAACACAAATAATTTAAGAAAAAAGTAAATGGATGCCACGAGGTATAGTGAAATTTATTCTATGTTCATCGTCGAGTCAAATAAAAGATGTAATCCGGTATTTTATTTCTCTTTTAATTTTTTTTTATTTTATTGGCATATGCAAATTATATGCTGATGAGCTAGTTATGGGTATATTACCAGGTTAAAAGTTGGTATCCTCCATTATTTTTGTTTCGTCGCTTTGAAGGTTCGTTTGATTCATTCATGCTAACACTGGTTCATTCATTGCACCCCTGGTTCACCCATCTTACACCTGGTTCACCCATTTTACCCCTGGTTCACTCATCTTACCCCTGGTTCACCCATCTAACCCCTGGTTCACATATCTTACCCCTGGTTCACTCATCTTACCCCTGGTTCACTCATCTTACCCCTGGTTCACTCACCCTACCCCTGGTTCACTCACCCTACCCCTGGTTTACTCACCCTACCCCTGGTTCACTCACCCTACCCCTGGTTCACTCACCCTACCCCTGGTTCACTCGCCCTACCCCTGGTTCACTCGCCCTACCACTGGTTCACTCGCCCTACCCCTGGTTCACTCGCCCTACCCCTGGTTCACTCACCCTACTGTTCCACCGCCCCTATCATTTGTTCAGGAGCCGGATCCGTGTTTGTGTCAGTTTAGGGTCAGCCAACACGCGACACATCCGAAGACTTAACCACGAAGCTGACATGAATTTTTAATGACCTCCTGTCTGATGCCAGGACTCCGGGAAAAGGTCAGAGGGTGTTTGAACCTCAGCCTTGAGAACTGATCTAACTGGCTCATTTAACCTCCGGAATAAAGATGGAAGGATTATATATATTTATAGGATATTTTCGTCCATTCACTGGAGATGTATGTGTGTGTCTCTGTCGTTATATCTGTCTTTCTCACACACTTAGACAAACACTCACACACCTACAAGAGACATCATTATGCATAAGTGTGTACCCAGATGACTCTTCCGTATTGTGTTGTTGGGAAGTGAGAAACTATCTGCTGTCTGTCTTTCCGTCTGTTTGATTGGTTGCTTCTCTCTCTCCCTGTCAATTTCTCTCTAAGTGCCACTGCGCAAAACACAGCCTCGGTTGTAAGTGTCTTGACTTGCCAGAAATACCCTGACCCGACCAGGAGGGACGGTGGATAAAACAAACAGATATACAATGTTTTTTCTCTTCACTTAACTTGAGGGCGAACCATTATTTTATACTATGTTTAGAGAGATTACCTTTTGTGTAACGAGGATGCTCTCTTCTATTTTACGATGGAAGGGAGAGACAGATAAACAGAGACGGGTGTGGTGACAGAAGAGGAACTTTTTACTTACGTGGGATTTTGCCAAGGGTACAACTTTCTATTCTCTATTGGTAGGGAGAAAGCGAGGTGGTACTTTTATTTCCGTGGTTTGGTTGTCGAGTGAATTTCTATTTTAGGTCGAAATGAGAAAGAGAGATGGATAGAAAGATAGAGAGGAGTAGAGGGGGAGATTTTATTACATTAACTTTTACCATTAACGCCAATATAATCATCAACGTCGCCAACATGGTCAATATCAACATCAACATAATCGTCAACATTAACAGATCAACACATAATACAGACCCTCACTTAACTCTGTGTCTGTGTGTGTGTGTGTGTGTGTGTGTGTGTGTGTGTGTGTGTGTGTGTGTGTGTGTGTGTGTGTGTATATGTACGTAGGCGTATCTAGTACAGCTTGACCTTTGACCTCTATACCCTCACTCACCCAAAAGCCATCAACTGTGTGTAATGAACCAAGAAATCAGGATGATAAACAAATTCCCAGACGGCTGGAAGACGAAACAAAAACGGCTGGAAGACGAATACAATTATTAAAGACAAATAAGAGAGAAGAAACAAAAAAAAAAGAATATGTCTCCAGAAAAAAAAAAAAAAACAGACCTAAAAAAAGTTATATACAAAAAAAAAATTAAAATACGTCTCTAGTTCCGAAGGTAATATAGAAAAGATGGAAGAGTATAAGAGGGGAAATATATATATATAGAGAGAGGAGGATTTAATGGAATATAGACGTTTTGTAGAGTGAGGGGAAGTGGAGAGAGGTAACTGAGGGGGGGTGAGTGGAGGAAGTGAGACGGATGAGGGAGATAGTAACGAAAGGAGGAGACTTTATATAGATAAGTCATGTGTATTGAAATTCTATACACCTTATGCATAACACACACACACACACACACACACACACACACACACACACACACACACACACACACACACACACTATCATCAGTCTAAACCGTTCCTCTTAGCAGGGTGGCAAACATATTCTATTCTCGCACATACATACATACATACATACATCCATCCATACATACATACATACATACATACATACATACATACTCATCAAGGAGGGAATAATGGCAAGTCAGGTATAGAGCTACTGACACACGTAGAGATAACTGAGTTACCACAAGACGATGATGTAAAAACTACTGATTAATGTTGTGGCGGCCCAAAAAGCTTATCCAGGTGATTAATGAAAGGTTTAATGAGTTAATTAATGAGGTGAGGGAGGGTGGGGGTGAGATGAGGTGAGGTGAGGGTGAGGTGAGGTTAATCAGTGATCATGATTCGAGGAGAGTCAGTATCACATATCTAAGACAATCTGTTGATGAGTGTGCTGATCAGGTGTAACGTGTTTTAGGGCTGTCTGTCTGTCTGTGTGTCTGTCTGTCTGTCTGTCTGTGTGTCTGTGTCTGTGTGTCTGTCTGTGTGTGTGTCTGTCTGTCTGTGTGTCTGTCTGTCTGTGTGTCTGTCTGTCTGTGTGTCTGTCTGTGTGTCTGTCTGTCTGTGTGTCTGTCTGTCTGTCTGTCTGTCTGTCTGTCTGTCTGTGTGTCTGTCTGTGTGTCTGTCTGTGTGTCTGTCTGTCTGTCTGTCTGTCTGTCTGTGTGTCTGTCTGTGTGTCTGTTTACCTATAAGTTTCATTATGTTTACTGGACACAAAGATTCAGTGTATTCTTCATAATGAAAAGACACACACACACACACACACACACACACACACACACACACACACCATTGACCTTAACAACCGCCGTACAGTAATTATAATTTTCACGCCTTGACAACCAAACATCATGTAGAATTTAATCGTAGTCTCTCTCTCTCTCTCTCTCTCTCTCTCCTTGCCCGAGTGAACCCCTGACATTCTCAGTTCCTCCCTAGAGCTGTTGTCATGGTGCTGGGGGAGGAAGGGAGAAAGGGAGGGAGGGAGGGCGCATTGATATGTGGGGTCCCTTTGATATCCAGACTCGTGCAAGGAACCTAAACTAACTTAATGTGACCTAACCTAATCTGACTTAACCTAACCTAAATTTGTCTTTATCAAACTTAACTCGACTTGACTTAACCTAACTAAACCTGACTAATCAAACACAACCAAACTCAATGTGACTTAACCTAACCTAACCTAACCTACCCAATTGTTTCTGGTTGACTCTGTGATGCATCTTCTGTTTATCATCCCTTAGTAATGACCCCTGTTACCATTTACTGTCATTATTATTATTATACATTATTGGTTATTATTTTTTTTAATTATAAGTCTAATGTCAAGAGCTTTAGCCTCTAAGAACGCCGATTAGGCAGAAAATCCTTCGTAATTGGAAATTCTTTTGCTGACAGGGAAGGGAGAGTGACAGACAGAGAGACAGACAGACAGACAGACGAACAGAGAGAGAGAGAGAAGAGAGAGAGAGAGGCCAATATCATTCATTACCACCATCACAAACAAGTAAGACTAATGGTGTACATTTATTCTGATGAAACTGTAAAACTATTCAACCAGTGGTCACAATACCCCTATCATAGTAATTCACCATTCTATAGTTTTTAATTAATTTACTCTTTATAAAGGATAATTGCATTCATATATAACTACAGTTCATTCATATATACCTACTGTTCATTCATATATACCTACTGTTCATTCATATATACCTACTGTTCATTCATATATACCTACTGTTCATTCATATATACCTACTGTTCATTCATATATACCTGCTGCTCATTCATATATACCTACTGTTCATTCATATATACCTACTGTTCATTCATATATACCTACTGTTCATTCATATATACCTACTGTTCATTCATATATACCTGCTGCTCATTCATATATACCTACTGTTCATTCATATATACCTACTGTTCATTCATATATACCTACTGTTCATTCATATATACCTACTGTTCATTCATATATACCTGTCATTTCACGTACACTGGCTCCTCAGGTAACTTGCTAATTTGCTGTATTGGAGTAACGTCCGTCTGTCTGTCTGTCTGTCGGTCTGTCTGTCTCCCGCTGGTGATTCAGTGGCAAAAGTGTCTCGGCTGACAGGTAAATATTTCATGAGTTGTTAACCTGCAGGCTGGTCCTAAGGGAGAAAGGAGGGGTATGTCTTGGATATTTTTTTTCTTTGCGTGCGTGTTTCTTCTATCAGGCCTGTGTTTGACCTCCGTGTGAGCGCATGACAAGAGAGAGGGGGTCACTGTTGTTCTAGTCATGACGATTTTGACCCCGACTTTCCATCTCTTTCGTGTACCCAGTAAATATTTCCACCTGTCACTCTCTCTCAATCTCACGCCTTCACTCTCTCTATCCCTCTCTCTCCCCCTCTCTCATTTCTCCCTCCTTCCCTCTCCCTCTCCACACGTTCAAGAATAGAAACAGTTATCCTATTCACACTACATACAGGTACATAAACTAAACTTCCAGGTAACCGGACTATTGCATATAGATTGTTTCGACTCTAAACCTCTAACGCACGATTGCAATTCTCAATTCCTTTGCATTTTCGTTTATCTTGCAATGTTATTTAATATATTTTTTTTCTAATACGCATCTTATTCACATGAGTATGTATTCCATAGCTGTACACACTTCTAACGCACATGTGTATGTATCCCACAGGTGTACATGGAGCCACTCAAGAAAATCCAGGTAGACGGATACGCTATGTTCGCCGAGCCTGAGTTGTTGTTTGGTAACCTGGACGAACTCTGTTGTGTGAGTACCGTTGTCTGTTAATGTGAGTACTGTTGTCTGTTGTGTGAATTACTGTTGTCTGTTATTGAGTACCGTTGTCTGTTATTGTGAGTACTGTTGTCTGTTGTGTAGTGCTGTTGTCTGTTGTGTGAGTACTGTTGTCTGTTGTATCAGTACCGTTGTCTGTTGTGTAGTGCGCATTGTCTGTTGTGTCAGTGCTGTTGTCTGTTATTGAGTACTGTTGTCTGTTGTCCATGATACCGTTGTCTGTTGTGTACCGTTGTCTGTTGTGTGATGCTGTTGTCTGTTTGTGTCCAGTGCTGTTGTCTGTTGTTGATGCTGTTTGTCTGTTGTGTCAGTACTGTTGTCTGTTGATGTGGTACCGTTGTATGTTGTGTGAGTACCGTTGTGTGTTGTGTGAGTACTGTTGTCTGTTGTGTGAGGTACTGTTGTCTGTTGTGTGAGTACCGTTGTCTGTTTGTGAGTACTGTTGTCTGTTATTACAGATACTGTTGTCTGTTGTGTCCAGTACTGTTGTCTGTTGTGAGTACTGTTGCCTGTTGTGTAGTACTGTTGTCTGTTGTGTAGTACTGTTGTGCTGTGTAAGTACTGTTGTCTGTTTATTATCAATTACTGTTGCCTATTCAATGTGAATACTGTTGCCTGTTATTGTAGTACTGTTGTCTGTTGTGTCAGTACTGTTGTCTTATTTAATGAGTACTGTTGCCTGTTTATTAGCAAGTACTGTTGTCTGTTGTCAGTACTGTTGCCTGTTGTGAGTACTGCTGTCTGTTGTGTGAGTACCATTGTCTGTTGTGTGAGTACTGTTGTCTGTTGTCCAGTACTGTTGCCTGTTATGTGAATACTGTTTGCCTGTTATTGTGAGTGCTGTTGTCTGTTGTGTGAGTACTGTTGTCTGTTGTGTGAATACTGTTGTCTGTTGTGTGAGTACCGTTGTCTGTTGTGTAGTACTGTTGTCTGTTTGTGTGAATACTGTTATCTGTTGTGTGAGCACTGTTGTCTATTGTGTGAGTACTGTTGTCTGTTGTGTGAGTACTGTTTGTCTGTTGTGTGAGAGTACTGTTGTCTGTTATTAGCCCAAGTACTGTGTCTGTGTGAGTAGTGTTGTCTGTTGTGAGAGTACTGATGTCTGTTTGTGTAGTACTGTTGTCTGTTGTGTAGTACTGTTGTCTGTTGTGTAGTACCCATTTGTCTGTTGTGTGAGTACTGTTGTCTGTTGTGTGAAGTACTGTTGTCTGTTGTGTCCCATTAACATTTGTCTGTTGTGTGAGTACTGTCTGTGTGGTACAGTTGTCTGTTGTGTGAGTACCGTTGTCTGTTGTGTAGTACTGTTGTCTGTTGTGTAGAGTACTGTTGTCTGTTGTGTAGTACCGTTGTCTGTTGTGTAGAGTACTGTTGTCTGTTGTGTAGTACTGTTGTCTGTTGTGTAGTACTGTTGTCTGTTGTATCAGTACCGTTGTCTGTTGTGTAGTACTGTTGTCTGTTGTCAGTGCTGTTGTCTGTTGTGTAGTACTGTTGTCTGTGTGTGGTACAGTGTATTGTGAGTACCGTTGTCTGTTGTGTAGTACTGTTGTCTGTTGTGTCAGTACTGTTGTCATTGTGTCAGTACTGTTGTCTGTTGTGTCAGTACTGTTGTCTGTTGTGTAGTACCGTTGTGTTGTTGTGAGTACCGTTGTGTGTGTAGTACTGTTGTCTGTGTGTAATTACTGTTGTCTGTTGTGAGTACCGTTGTCTGTTTATTGTAGAGTACTGTTGTCTGTTGTGTTAGTACTGTTGTCACGGTATTGTCAGTACTGTTGTCTGTGTGAGTACTTATTTGCCTGTTATTGTGAGTACTGTTGTCTGTTGTGTGAGTACTGTTGTCTGTTGTGTAAGTACTGTTGTCTGTTGTGTCAGTACTGTTGCCTGTTATTAATGAATACGCCTGTTATTATGAGTACTGTTGTCTGTTATTGTCAATGCACTGTCTGTGTAGTACTGTTGCCTGTTGTGTGATACTGTTGTCTGTTGTGTCAGTACTGTTGCCTTATTTATTAATGAGTACTGCTGTCTGTTGTGTAGTACCATTGTCTGTTGTGTGAGTACTGTTGTCTGTTGTGTCAGTACTGTGCTATATTCCCCATGTGAATACTGTTGCCTGTTGTGTAGTACTGTTGTCTGTTGTGTGCTGTTGTCTGTTGTGTGAGATACTGTTGTTGTCTGTTATTGTGAGTACCGTTGTCTGTTGTGTAGTGCACTGTTGTCTGTTATTAGTAGATACTGTTATCTATTTATTGTGAGCACTGTTGTCTGTTATGTGAATACTGTTGTCTGTTGTGTGAGTACTGTTGTCTGTTGTGTGAGAGTACTGTTGTCTGTTGTGTGTAGGCACTGTTGTCTGTTATGTGAGTACTGTTGTCTTATTTGTGTGAGTACTGATGTCTGTTGTGTGAGTACTGTTGTCTGTTGTGTGAGTACTGTTGTCTGTTGTGTGATACCGTTGTCTGTTATTGTGAGTACTATTTGTCTGTTGTGTGAGTACTGTTGTCCTGTTGTGTGAGTACTATTGTCTGTTGTGAGTACTGTTGCCTGTTGTGTGAGTACTGTTGTCTGTTGTCAGTACTGTGTCTGTTGTCCAAGTACTGTTGTCTGTTTGGTAATCAGTGCTGTTGCCTGTTGTGCGAATACTGTTGCCTGTTATTGATGCTGTTGTCTATTTGTGTGAGTACTGTTTGTCTGTTGTGTGAGTCTGTTGTCTATTTATTAGCCAGTGCTGTTGTCTGTTGTGTGAGTGCTGTTGTCTGTTGTGTGAGTACTGTTGTGTGTTGTGTGTGTGTTTACGTTGTCTGTTGTGTGAAAGGTACTGTTGTCTGTTGTGTGTGAATACTGTTGTCTGTTGTGTGTAGTACTGTTGTCTGTTGTCAGTACTGTTGTCTGTGCTGTAGTACTGTTGCATCTGTTATTATCAGCAGTGCTGTTGTCTGTTATTAATGAGTACTGTTGTCTGTTGTGTGAATACCGTTGTCTGTTTGTGTGAAGTACCGTTGTCTGTTATTATGAGTACCGTTGTCTGTTGTGTAGTACTGTTGTCTGTTATTGTGAGTACTGTTGTCTGTTGTGTGAGGTACGTTGTCTGAGAATTACTGTTGTCCTTGTTATTGTGAGTGCTGTTGTCTGTTGTGTCAGTACTGCTTGTCTGTTCTATGATACTGTTGCCTGTTGGTAGCAAGGTACTGTGTCTGTTATGTCAGTACTGTTGTCTGTTATTAATCCCAGTACTGTTGTCTGTTGTGTGAGTCACTGTTGCCTGTTATTGTGAATCACTGTTGCCTGTTGTGTGAATACTGTTGCCTGTTGTGTGAAATTACTGTTGTCTGTTGTGTGAGTACTGTTGTCTGTTGTGTGAGTACTGTTGTCTGTTGTGTAGTACCGTTTGTCTGTTGTGTAGTACTGTTGTCTGTTGTGTAGTGCACTATTGTCTGTTATTATTGAGAGTACTGTTGTCTGTTGTGTGGAAATACTGTTGTGTTGTGAAAGAGTACCGTTGTCTGTTGTGTAGTACTGTTGTCTGTTGTGTAGTACTGTTGTCTTATTTGCGTGATGCTGTTGTCTGTTATTGTGTAGTGCTGTTGTCTGTTGTGTGGGTACTCTTGTCTATTTGTGTGAGTACCAATAGTCTGTGTGTGCTGTTGTCTGTTGTGTGAGTACTGTTGTCTGTTGTGTAAGGTACCGTTGTCTGTTGTGTAAGATACTGTTGTCTGTTGTGTGAATACTGTTGACTGTTGTGTGAGAATACTGTTGTCTGTTTATTGTCAGTACTGTTGTCTGTTATTAATGCTATTTGCCTGTTGTGTGAGTACTGTTACTGTTGTGTGAGTACTGTTATCTGCTGTGTAGTACTGTTGTCTGTTGTGTAAGTACTGTGTCCTATTTGTGTGTTCTGTTGTCTGTTGTAGTGCTGTCTGTTGTGAGAGTACTGTTGTCTGTTATTGTGAGAATGCTGTTGTCTGTTGTGTGAGTGCTGTGTCTGTGTGTGAGTACTGTTGTCTGTTGATTGTAGTGCTGTTGTCTGTTGTGTGAGAATTACTGTTGTCTGTTGTGTGAGTGCTGCTGTCTGTTGTGTGAGTACTGTTGTCTGTTGTGTCATGCACAATTTGTCTGTTACATGTCAATGCTGTTTGTCTGTGTATCAAGTACTGTTGTCTGTTAATATCCAAGTACTGTTGTGCCATGTCAGTACTGTTGTCTGTTGTGTGAGTACTGCTGTCTGTTGTCATAGATACCATTGTCTGTTGTGAGTACCGTTCCCTATTGTGAGAGTACTGTTGTCTGTTGTGTGATACCGTTGCCTGCTGTGTCAGTACTGTTGTCTCTGTTGTGTAGTACTGTTGTCTGTTGTGTGAGTACCGTTGTCTGTTGTGTGAGTACTGTTGTCTGTTGTGTGAGTACTGTTGTCTGTTGCGTGAGTACTGTTGTCTGTTGTGTGAGTACCGTTGTCTGTTGTGTGAGTACTGTTGTCTGTTGTGTGAGTACTGTTGTCTGTTGTGTGAGTACTGTTGCCTGTTGTGTGAGTACTGTTATCTGTTGTGTGATTACTGTTGTCTGTTGTGTCAGTACTGTTGTCTGTTGTGTGAGTACTGTTGTCTGTTGTGTGAGTACTGTTGTGTGAATACTGTTGTCTGTTGTGTGAGTACCGTTGTCTGTTGTGTGAGTACTGTTGTCTGTTGTGTGAGTACTGTTGTCTGTTGCGTGAGTACTGTTGTCTGTTGTGTGAGTACCGTTGTCTGTTGTGTGAGTACTGTTGTCTGTTGTGTGAGTACTGTTGTCTGTTGTGTGAGTACTGTTGCCTGTTGTGTGAGTACTGTTATCTGTTGTGTGATTACTGTTGTCTGTTGTGTCAGTACTGTTGTCTGTTGTGTGAGTACTGTTGTCTGTTGTGTATATAGACGCACACAGCCATATAACACTAATCTTCACCAGCCAGCGGGAGTCGAACCCGTGATCTGCAACATTAGAGTCAGCAGCAGGACCGCAGCTCAGTGTTTACAAGAACTGGTCAATTTGATCTAGCGCTGAACATCCATTTGTTTTTGAAAGCATTCTGCGTCCCATCGGCTCAGTGGTGTCGCTCCCACCATCTCTCGTGTCAGGGTTCCAGGGTTCGACTTCCACTTGTATTGTGATGTTTAGTATGTTTTATCGATGATGTGGGTTACGTGTTATAAAGGCGAGGGAGAGGGAGGGGGAGAATGGGGAGGAAGGGAGGAGGGGGAGAATGGGGAGGAAGGGAGGAGGGGAAGAGGGAAGGGGAGAATAGGGGGCAGGGGAGGAAGGACAAACAACTGAACATCGAAAATATTAATTCTTTTGTTTTAGTTCATATCGCTCACCAACTGCAGTAAACAGTGCTCTGGTACGAACTAAATAGAATGAAAGAAAAATTGAGGTGTGTGCTCGTTAGTAACACTGTTTATGATAACAATTAATTTCCTGGTTAATCATTTATTCTGTCAGATTTAGACAAGTTAAAACCCTTTACATAAAACATTGACGCCATTTCTACCTAACATAATACACTGTACTTATTTACTAAGAAACATTCTTCACGATATTAAGTTATAGAGACGAGAAATATTCAGGATTACAATATAGAGTTTTTCTATAAGGCCGCCTCTGCCACAACCTTCCATGGTCTCTTTGTGTGTGTGTGTGTGTGTGTGTGCGTGTTTATTTGTATATGGTTATGAAACACACACACACACACACACACACACACACACACACACACACACACACACACACACACACACACAGGCTTTTAGTTTATGATCCCGAGTAAACTTTTTCTTCAGATGTAAATACAAAAAATACGTTCTAAATCCCCAGTTGAAGCCGTTGGTGACTGTTAGTGCATCACAATAATGAAAAAAAACACATAACATATTATATTTATTGTCAAACTCCCACTTGTACTGTACTGTGCTGTGCTGTTCTAAATTTACAATTATCAAAGACTGACTTTTTTGTCTGCTTTTATATGAATATCCATATTTAACTTGTAGCATTTAAGGGACACTCTATTTAATTGGTCTACACACACACACAGACACACACACACACACACACACAGACACACACACACACACACACACACACACACACACACACACACACACACACCATCCCTACTGTAAAGGGTGCGTTAGTCAGCCCTAAACCTGACTGAAAAGGTGGCATTTCTTTTTTCTTTTCTTTTTACACAGGAAGGTGTTTGTTTAGTACTTCTCTTTACACGCGCTGCCGGGCGTATAGCCAACACCTCACTACCGCAGCTTTGATCTATTTTTTTCACAATTATTTTCCTTTATTTATTCTTAATGACGTGATAATAAAGATGACCTCTGACCTCTGACCTGGGGATATAATACAGCTTCACTTAACCTTTACACGTACACATAAAAAAAGGTTTTGATCACATTGTTAATGCACACCTTCTCACCTCTCTTATTTCTCCCTTGTCAATAACCCAGGAAGAACGTTGACCTTTTAACCTACGCTCAGTCCTGGAATAGATTGAATTTAGTGTATTCCTTATTCATCCATTAACACAACGTTGTAAGCTTGACCCCTGACCTCTGACCCGTGTTGTATGCTTTGATCACCGACCTGTGTTCTCTGTTGTAAACCTGACCTGCTGACCTCTGACCTTTATTACAGGTGACGTACGCGTTCTGTAAGGAATTCATTAATCTGCTGGAACAACACCAAGTTCCTGTTGGTCAGCTGGACACTACCAATGTGCTGGTCAAGCTCTTTCAGAAGGTCAGTCTCTCTCTCTCTGCTATAACTTCCATTACCATATTTTCTCCTCCCCCAAACACCCCCTCCCCTCCCTCTCCACACACACACCTCCCCTCCTCCACCCCCCCCTCCGCCAGACCCCCTCCCCCTCACACACTCCTTCCACAAAAAAAATCCCCCTGCCCCCCTCCCTCCACACCCCCTCCCCCCCTCACACACCCTCCCTTCCTCCACAAACATCCCCTGTCCCCCCTCCTCCACACACCCCCTCCCCCACACACTCCCTTCCTTCCTCCACAAAAATCCCCCTGCCCCCCCTCCTCCACACCCCCTCACACACACACTCCTTCCTCCACAACATCCCCTGCTCCCTCCTCCACCCCCCCCCTCCCCCCACACACACTCCCCCTCCTTCTCTCAGCACAAACATCCCCGTCCCCTCTCCCTCCACACCCTCCCTCACACACATTCCCCCCTCCCCTTCCCTCCACAAACATCCCCCGTCCCCCCCCTCCCTCCCCCTCCACACCCTCACACACTCCTCCTTTCCTCCACAGTCCCCCTGCCCCCTCCTCCTCCACATTACCCTGGTTTGACGACATATGGTTGTACTCCGCAGGGCAGTAAGGCCACCATGCTGTGTCAAGCCTACCATCGCTACGCACTTAACTACATCAACGCACTTAACTACCTCGAGACCCTCAGACGCCAACTAGAATTCTGTGAATTCGAAAAGGTAAGTCTTTTGTGGGTTTTTTTTCTGTACCCTCCATTTGGTTTTATTGTGGTTTATTTATTTATTTGTTTTAGGGGAGGGAAGGGTTTTGTGCCTTATTTTAATGGGTTTGGGAGGTTTTGTGTTTAGTTTTTTCTTCTACTTTTGAGTGTTTCTGTGTAAATTATTTTAGTGGCATTCCGGTTTTGTGTATTTGTGTTCAGTCCAAAAATAATGAGAATAAAACTAATAATGTGTGTGTGTGTGTGTGTGTGTGTGTGTGTGTGTGTGTGTGTGTGTGTGTGTCAATTAGTTTCTTTATACGCTTTGTGTGTTAGTATATGAAGAAGCTGATATTCTGATTGTTTGTCAGAATCGCTACGTGTTATTGGTTATGTATATATTTACCAGCTGGTCAGTTGTTTATGTTTCTATACGTGTAAATGTGTATAGTGGTATAGTTCTTGTTTCTCTGTCAAATTGTCTGCCTGTCAGTCACTCTGTTTACACACGTCGAGTCTGACAATGCAAGCTAGAACAGTTCATCTGCCCCTTTCCCCCTCCTTCTCCCCCTCCTTCTCCCCCTCTCTCCCCTAACAAGGAATGCGGTGGCTGGGTGGATACAGAGCTCGCCTTCTGTACTAAGAAGTCTCTCGTTGACTCTCAGGACGCCCTCTTACCCAGCTGTGAATGAGTAACTAACTGTACTGTTGGGGAAATAAACGTGATCAAGTGCAGTGACGGCCACGTTGTTTCCTGAGTCAACAGAGACAAAGAGTAAAGAGTAAAATGTTAAAAAAAGAAGCATGAAGAGAGAAAAGAAAGAACAATGATTATGAAGGAAATACAGACAGACAGACAGACAGACAGACAGACAGACAGACAGACAGACAACCGGAAGTCCCAAACCAGAGGTAAATACATTAAGAGCGTCACTCATTGGCGTTAATCCGACGAACTGTTAAGAGCTGTGAGAGTTATCATTGAGTCGGCGTTAGCGAGCACTTAGCTGCGATTACAACTGATTGGATAGTGAATGGATCCTAAAGTGATTGGAACGAGGGAATTTGCCTAATAAAACGAATGATTAGAAGGGTCTTATGTAACACAATGAGATAACCTAACCTAACCTAACCTAACCTAACATAACCTAACCTAACCCAACCTAA